ACACACATCCGGCACCTGCAAGTGCCTAGGTGGAAAACACACACACACGCACACACACCAACCTAAGGAGACCTTGTCTCCCATGCCAGACTGTTACCTTTATGAAACATCATTGTTCTTTCCCTTCTTTTATAATTCTAACTTTTTATTATTAACTAACCTTAGACTTGAAGAAAAGTTGCTAACAAAAATGTTAGTGTTCCCCTTATATATATCCTTCTCAGGATGGCTTTGGCTATTCGGGATCTTTTGTGGTTCCATACAAATTTTAGGATGATCTTTTCTATTTCTGTGAAAAATACCATTGGAATTTTGATAGGGATTGCGCTGAACCCATAGATGGCTTTGGGTAGGATGGATGCTTTAACAATGTTAATTCTTCCCGTTCATGATCACGGAATATCTTGCCATTTATTTGTGTCGTCTTCAGTTTCTGTCATCAGAGTCTTGAGTTTTCAGTGCACAGGTCTCTCACCTCCTTGGTTAAATTTATTCCTTAGTATTTTTTATGCTATTGCAAATAGGATTGTTTTATTTCTCTTAAAGATAATTTGTCAGTAAATAGAAGCACACCTGGTTTCTGTATGTTGATTTTGTATACTGTAACTACCAAATTTGGGAATTAGTTCTAATTTTTTTGGTGGCGTTTTTAGGGTTTTCTATATATAAAATCATGTCATTTGAGCACCTGGCTGGCTCATTTGGAGCATGTCACTCTTGATCTCTCAGTTGTAAGTTCGAGCCCCACATTGGGTGTAGAGATTGCTTAAAAATAAAATCTTTTAAAAAATAAAATAAAAAATAAAATCATGTCATCTGCAAACAAAGATAAATTTACTTCCCCTGTCTGATTTGAAGGTCCTTTATTCCTTTTTTCCTAAGTGCTCTGACTCACACTTCCAGCACTGTGCTTTATGGGAGTGGCTAGAGTGAGCATCCTTATCTTGTTCCTGATCTTAAAGGGAAAGCTTTCAACTTTTCACCAGTGAGTGATGTCAGCTGTGGGTTTGTTAATTATCTGGCGTTTGTTATGTTGAGGTATACTCCTCATATAGCCAGTGTTTTGGAGTTTTTATCATGAAAGGATGTGGTATTTTGTCAAACGCTTGTCCTACATCTATTAAGATGATCATATGATTTTTATCTATTAATGTGTATCACATTTATTGATTTGCATATGTCAAACCACCCTCGTATCTCGGGTAAATCCCACTTGATCATGGTGTATGATCCTTTTAATGTGCTATTGAATTCACTTTGCTAATATTTGGTTGAGAATTTTTGCATCTGTACTCATCAGGGATACTGGTTTGTAGTTTCCTTGTATTGTATTTCTTTTTATTTCCTTATCTGGTTTTGGTATCAGGGCAATGCTGGTTTCCTAAAGTGAGTTTGGGAGTGTTCCCTCCTCTTTGAATTTTTTGGAAGAGTTTGAAAAGGACTGGCGTTAATTCTTCTTTAAATGTTTGGTAGAATTCATTAGTGAAATCATCTGGTCCTGGGCTTCTAACTTCTTAACGTGGACATTTATCCCACTGACTTTCAGCTCTCTTTGAAAAAAAAAAATACCATGGTCATAAATTTTCCTCAAAGTACTGCTTTCATGGCTCATGGCATACCCAATTTTTGATCATTCGATTTTTATCATGCAATTTTTTCTCTTTATCATGCAATTTTAAGTATTAAAGACATGTAATATAAGTGGGAGCCCCATAGGATCCAGACACCCCCCCAAGTGTGAGAGTGTGGGGAGCTGTATCAATCATGTTCTTTATTTTCTGTATTTTATGATGGTTTGACATCTTGGTTTGGTGGGGGTGGGAGGGGAGGCAGCTTGCTGACTAGGGGAGAGACTGCCTCTAACCCTAATTCCTAGAGTTCATGAAAATTTGCCTATGAATAAGTCTTTCACATGCAGACCAATCAATCCAGAGTCCATACCCCTAACCACCTCCTTTTTCCTAACCCTTACCAAGCCTATGTTTGCCCTGCCCTAAATCATCACAGGGCCAGTACCAGACCATTAGAGGCCACCCCTATACCACACAGCTGGCCAGTCCTGAGGGGTTTATCTTGCCCTTCCTTGCCTTTCCTGCAGAAACCTTAGTATAGGCTCTCCCTCACTCCTGCTTCTGCCTCCCCTCTGAACCTCGTGCTTCCCCATGTGGCCCTGCATGTCCTGACATGACCCCTTTTCTTGGGATTTGTAAGTAATAGTAACTCCTTTCAGTGGCATTAACCTCTCCATGTCAGTACTCAGGTATTCGTTATAAATCAAAATCTCACGGGTACAATTAAGACAGAAGGCAGCTTGGGGCCCCAGGGTGGTGCAGTTGGTTGAATGTCCGGACTCTTGGTTTCAGCTCAGGTCATTTTCTCAGGGTCCTGAGATAGAGCCCTGCATCTGGCTCTAAGCTCAGCGGGGAGTCTGCTTGAGATTCTCTCTCCCTCTCCCGCTGCCCATCCCCCTGCTCACTTGCTCTCTCAAACAAATAAATCTTAAAAAAAAAAAAAAAAAAAGACAAGGCAGCTTCAGAAAACTGTCTCATTCAACCTCCGGGGCTGATGGAATAGGGGCCAGTCCGAGCCCGGGGCTGCCTCTTCTCTGCTGCCTATGGCAGGAATGGTTGGTTGTAAAAATTCCCCCAGGTCTTCATGCCCTCTGAAACATGATTCTGTTGCTCTTCGCATCAGGAGGTAGAGTTTCTCTCCCAATCCCTGGAATTTGGGCTGGCCCTGTGACTTGCTTGTGCCAATAGAGCGTTATGGAAGTAAAATATGCCAGTCGTAGAATCTTCTAGAGGCCTTGCAAGCTTCCACTTACTTTCTGGCAGGGTTGGGACTGGGGTGAGACAGGATCACTATTACAAATATTTCCTTCTGCCTCAGGTTCCAATGTGACTTGGCATCACACTGTCACTGATCTGGTCTTCAGTTAAAATTCTGATATTTTGTTCATAATTGATTTTTTTGGCACTGATCTTGATCTGTTAAAATATTGCATTAAAATATTACTTATTTTGATTGCCTTTCTTTTGTGCTCAAGGTAAGTGCATCACTGCCTTACCCTAATCCTGCTCTGCTCTCTCGAGCCCTCCCCAGCTGTCATGTGAGCAAGCCTGAGCTAGTCTGTTGGAAAATGGGTGCGTAGCCCATTTGTCTACATCACTCCAGCCAACAGCCAGCCAACCCCAGAAGCAGAACTGCCCAACTGACCAGCAGCTGATTGCAAACATAAGAGCCCAACTGAACCACCCGCTGAGTTAAACCTAATTTGCCAATTCACAGAATTAGTTGTTTTAGGCCACTATGTTTTGGAGGTGGTTTTGTTATACAGCAACAGCTGACTGATACAGAAGGTCACCCAACAATTCTTTCATGAAGCATGGGGAGAGAATAAGTGGCTTCTCAGAATCTCCAAGGGAGGCAAAAGAGGTGGGGCAAAGGGGTCATTCCAGCTAGGTAACACCATCCCAGATACATCTGGGGCCCTGGCTGCCATCTGAGGCTCCACCTACCAGCTACCACCCCTTGGGACCCTCAGGGAGCCCCATGGGGTTGGATCTATATACAGAAAAGACTCACAGAGGCTCAAAGGCAGCATGTCTTTCTTCTGACTTCTACTTTGGTGTCCTTTTTAAAACAGCTCCCACTGTCCCCTCCCATGGAATGGAAGAGAGGCTGAGGAGTGTCCAAAGTGGGGGGGGGGGAAGCTACAACAGTCCCCACACTCCTCCAAAACCTCAAGTGGAGGACCAAGAACTGGGGCTGAGGAAGGGGCTGAGGGACAAGATAAGGCAGGAAAAGGGAGGGAGGAGGGTCCCGAGGATTTTGTTTGGGTGTTTTTTTTTGTTTTTTGTTTTTGCTGGGGCCAGGCTCCAGGGAAGTGGACTCTGTCTGAAATGTAGGGCCCCCAGCGCTGGCTTCTGGCCCGGCAGTCACTGGCCTCTACGGAGCTGGGTCTGGGTAAAATACATGGAACAGAGACACCCAGGATCCCTGGACAGAGGCCTCTCCTAATGCCCATCATGACCCAGCCTCCCCTGGTGACAAGAGGTCAGTGACTACGTGAACTTTGCTCCTTGGACCAATAGATTCTTGGGCTGGAGTATGTACCCTACCAGGATTCCCTAGTCCTAAGGAATGGGGACGGTACTGGGCACTTTCTGATAAGGCTCTGGGGTCCTGGAGTGGGTGGGGCAAGCTCAACTCAGGGAAGAAACTTGCAGGCTGCCAAAGTGCAGGAGGTCTGACTCTCTGGCTCTACCCTGGGAGACCAAGTCCCCAGAGGGGCTGTCAGAGGTCCACCGTCTGTAAGTACCCTCATCTTGGGAGCTCCCTCTCACCAGAGACAGGATCTTGGCTTCTGGGCTTGATCTGCTGAAAATGAAGAGGAAGGGTCACCCCTGCAGGCCAGGACCCCCTTTCCTCCCTCGGTGAGGACCAGTGACCCAGGAAGAGATACAACTTCTCTCTCTCCCACCCTGGGGGCTTCCAGCATCTGGTCTCCGTGACAACAGCTTTTCCACAAGATCAAGTCTCATTTGCATAATAACCCAAGCTCAGAAACCTCCGAGTAGGGGCCAGCAGATGAGGGGCAACAGAGGTGGGTGGATGAGGTGGGGGGCCCCACCTACCTTGGGGTTGCAGGCAGCACAACAGGGCAGAGGCTTCTCAAGGTGGTTCCTGGGCTCTGGCAGAGTTCTCAAGGTCTGCAGCAATGGGTGGAGGACACATATTGTGACCAAGGTGGGGTCAGGGGCCTCAAGGTGACTGGGTGTTACGTGGAAAGGAGGGGAGCCCATCTGGAAGGAGGTAGAAGGCAAGAGCCCATCTGGAAGGAGGTAGAAGGCAAGAGCCCATCCTTCACTTCCCTCCCCATCTCCTCCCGTGCCTCACTCACCCAGGGACCGGGGCTCTCCAATGGCTGCTGGGCCCAACTCCATGGGGTGAACACTGCTGGGGGGGCAGTCCCTGTTTGGGGCATCTTTGGGCCTGAGCAGTGCAATAAGACGGCAGGAGGTTGGCACAGTGGTCCTGAGCAGGCATGCCCGACCTGAATTCTGCCTTGAATGAGTCTCTACCCTTCTGGTCCACATCCCTGCCTCCAGTTCCCTTCCTGCTCCCTCCTCGGAGAGGCCCCTGGGTTCCAGGCTCCAGGTCTGACTCCTGCCCTCCCAGGGCCACGGGCACTTCTCTCTAGCCCTGACATTCCTCTCAAGCTCTGCCATCACCCCAGCATCCCTCCAGATATTGGCATCACTCAGGTTGTCCCCCACCCCGCCTGGCCTCCAGGACCCCTGATGCTGACACACCAAACTTTGAGCACCTTGCTCCTCCCCCATAGACCTGCAATCACTGCTCATTGTGTCAAAGCTCTCTCAGAACCTGGGACCTGGCTGGTGCCCTGCCCCTGTCTGGGCTGCCCTCTGCCCCAATCTCTAACCCAAACCCTGCCCTTTTCTGCAGCTTGTCCGGAGCACTCCCAAGGCCAGGCTGTGTCAGATGTGCCATAGGGGACCTTTTTTTTTTTTTTTTTTTAAAGATTTTGTTTATTTATTTGACAGAGAGAGAGAGAACACAGGTAGGCAGAGCTGCAGGGAGAGGGAGGAGAAGCAGGCTCTCCGCTGAGCGGGGAGCCCGATGCAGGGCTCGATTCCAGGATGCCGGGATCATGACCTGAGCGGAAGGCAGCCGCCCAACTGACTGAGCCACCCAGGCGCCCCAGGGGGCCTCCCTTGACCAGCACCGGGTGATCAACCATGCTCAGGTACTATGTGACCTCCTCCCAGGTCACGGAGAACTGGGTGAAGGGCAGGCCCTTGGTACAAGGGCAGCCAGCCCCATAGCTAAGCAGCAGTATGGAGTGAAATGGTGTGCTGGGCCCAGCATCTGCAGACTTGGAAGGTGTACAGGAGAGATTTAGGCAGAGGAAGTGGGAAAAGGCATGTGAGGCTAGAAAAATCTTGAAGGGCACAGTGGAGCAAGAACCGAAGGATGAGTTGGTAGAACAAAGGCAGTCTAGGGTGAGGCAGCCCCCTGGTGGGAGAGACAGAAGAGGGGGTCAAGGGGGTCTGAACCTCAGTAAACTGGGAGGGGTTGAGGGCCCCCGGGAATCCACACACACCCATTGTGGCCTCCTGCTCAGGGCTCCTTTCCACCGCCTCTGGCCACCTCTGTGCAGCCGGGGACAAGGTCTGAGGACCCCACCCCAGCTCCCCCAGGCAGGAACCACGGGAGTGGGCTCAGAGCCTACCCACGGCATGCGGCATCCCTCCTCGAGCCCCAGAGGCATTGCTGGAGACGGGACCCCGGCTGCCGGCAGCAGCACCAGGCCAGGCCAGCCCCCGGGAGCAGAGGCAGCAGAAAGCTAAGGATCAGTGCCAGCAGGAAGGCCTTGTGGTCTGGGGACAACAGGGGAAGGCTGAGTCCTTAGCAGGTGCACCACCTCAGCCTTCCCCACTTGTCCCCCATGGACACACTTTCAGGTTGCACAGGGCCACTGTCCACACTGCCACCAAACCCTGGCTTGTCGCAGGAGGGCGGAGCCCAGCCCGGAGCACAGTGGCAGTTTTGGTTACTGTTGCAAACCTACAAAGGAGAAGAAAGAAGGAGGATCCCATGGGATCAGGAACCCCAAGCCACCTGCCCCCGTCGACTTTCTGAGACTCACCCCATGGCCATGGCAGGCTGCCAGGCATTGCTCCAGCTCCCAGAAGGTGGTGTTTCGGCAGCGCCTGTCCTGGCACACCTATGGGCAGTGTGCGCACCGGGCAGTGAGGGGGAGTGATGCTCCCCACGCAGGACTCAAGCATTAGGGAGGGGCCGGGGGTGCAGGGCTCACCATGCTAGGTCCACACTGGGTACCTGGCTCTACCAGGCCCAAGTCGAGCACGTCCAGCTGGACACCGGGCAGCACGAAGACTCCCCTGCAGGTCACCTCATGGCTGCCTAGTCCAACGGTGGAGTCCACGGGCACCGTGTGCGCTGCGCGTGGGCTCTGCTCCCCGCCCAGGCACTGCAGCTTCCCGCACTGCGCATCCCTGGGGAGGAAAGTGCAGGGTGATCAAACAGCGAGATGTGTCCTTGCCCCAACGCACTACCCAGCTTCCTCGCCCCGCCCTCCGATCCCCACCTCTGCGCACAAGCCACGAAGCCACCCTTGAGGTCCTTGCCGCAGTTCCCGTGGGCGTCTCCCGCGGAGTTCACGGTCTGGAAACAGGCGTCTGGGGCTGGGCTGGAGCCTGAGGACGCATGGGCGAGACCACAATGGCTTCAGGCCCCCCACCCCCTCCCGTCTTCCCTGGAGTAGAAAAGAGCGCAGGCCCGAGGATGGGCCGGGGTGCTCGGGTAGTCTCACCAGGCCCCCAGAGCTGTTGGCACTGCTGCTCGAGTGTAGGACACGCGCCATCCCAGCAGTAGCCCCGGCCGCTGGCGCAGGGCGAGCCGTCCAGTAGGTAAAGGTCCGGGGGACAGTAAGGGGAGGAGCCCGTGCAGAACTCTGGGAGGTCACAGTCTCCCACAGCTCGGCGGCACGGCACGCCAGCCGGCTTCAGCTACGCAGGCGACCAGGTGGAGGGAGGGTGGCCGAGGCACAGAGGGACAATAGACAGGGAGAGGTCCACCCCGTAAGCGCGGCTCAGAGGCTGGAGAGCAGAGCAGAGCCCGCACCCACAGGGGGACCCGAGGGTGCCAATCAGCCAAGACCAACAGGCCGGCTCGCAAGCGCCCCTAACCCTCACCCCGAGCCTCCCACGCCCTCACCAGGCAGCGCGCGCAGCAGTCGCCGTGGGTGCACTGGGCCCCCGCGCGCAGCGAGCAGTTGTGGGCGAGGCAGCAGGCGTCCGGGCACTCCTGGAGCCGAAAAGGGGATGTGGGGCCAACTGAGCACGCCGCGCCCCAGACCTCGGGGGAGGGGGGCGGGCGGGGCGCCAGCCTCGGGCCCCCACCCCCACCCCGGGGGGGCCGGGAGCGCGGACCTGACCTGGCTGGCGCCGCAGTCACACTCCTCGCCGTCCTCCACGAGGCCGTTCCCGCAGCGCGCGCGGGGCACCAGGAGCCTGGGGTCGGGCGCGTTGGAAAGGCACGCACCGCCCCCCTTGCGGAAGAAGGCGCGCAGCTGGCGCCGGCTGCAGGCGCTGAATACGCGCGGGAACGGGCGCCTACGGGCAGGGGAGGGCGTCGGGCGTGCGGGCACCGCCACCCTCAGCCCCCAGCTCGTCTCGGATCCCCTCCCACCACTACCAGCTGTACTTGGCCACACAGCCCCTGGCTGGGCGCACAAGCGCCTCAGCCACCGGCGGCCCGGATCCTCCAGAGGCAGAGCCCGAAGGGGGCAAGTAACCTGCACAAAGTCACACTGCGAGCCCGAGGCGGGAAGGCGTCACGCCAGGACCAGGCAGCCCAGGACTCGAGGTCGAATCGCGACCTAGCGCTGTTCCTCCCGGGGTTAGAGAATCCTCGCTAGAATGTTCTGAAAATAATCTTCATACTTTTGAGAATCCGCTTTTTCTGCGTTTCCTCCTTTTAAGCGTCATAAAGAACTCTCGGGGAGGTGCTATGATCATATCCCCATTTTACGGGAGAGGAAATCGAGGGATAACCATGTCTCCCCAAGAAAGGCAGCTGCGGAAGGCCCCCTGGTCCAGCGGAGCCTCCCCCCGCACCCCTACCGACCGCGGCGTTCGTACCCCGTGGCCGCGGCCATGACGCAGCCGCCTTGCTCGGCCGCCGCCTCCACGCAGCAGCCGTCGGGGTCGTGGCTGAGGCCAAGGCTGTGACCTATCTCGTGGGCCATAGTGGCTGCTGCGCCAATGGGGAGCTCTGAGTGGTCCTGAGAGGGAGCGGAGACGGTCAGGGCGGGCTGCGGGGCCGCCTCCTCCCCCCCCCCCTCCCCTTCCTCTGCCCCTCCCTTCCTATCCCGGGGGTGGAGCTCACGGTGCTCACGCCTCCCGAGCTCTCGGCGCGACACATGCCCTCGATGGGCGCCAGGCCCACGGTGGCGCCCTGGAAGGCGCGGCCCCTGAAGGCGGAACGCAGCGTGACCCGGCGGGACCAGGATTCTGGGCGGTCGGGCCGGGACCCCGCGTGGGCATCAGAGGCACCCACGTGAGCAGCTGCGCGGAGTCGTGCGGCCGCCGTGCCCACAGCCCCTGGCGCCAGTGCAGGAAGGCCCAGAGCGTGGCATTTGCGTCCGGCGTGATGCGGCTCTGGTCCTGCTCCGTCCACACTTCCAGGCCGGTCAGGGCCACCTGAATGTCCAGAGTCCTGAGAATCTGCGGACGGGACGGGGGTGAGCACAGGACGTGCCACGGTGCCCGTGCTCCTCCGTGGGGGCGCCCTCTCTTCTCTGCCCGGGTCCAGGGCCTCATCTCCAAGCCTGCCACACCTCCCCTAGGACTTGCCAGCCCGTATGGCAATCACCCCCTTTAGGGCTCTCTTTCCACCAACCCCAACCTGGTCCACATAGTTGGCCACCTCCAGGAGACGCTGTTTGGTGTGGTTCAAGTTCCGGTGCTGGGTCAAGAACTGGAAAGGCAGACATAAGAGGGTGTGGCAGGCTGAACTGGCCCCATCCCACCCCGCCAGCCCCTGGGGCCTCTGGCTCACCAGCGTGTGGTCAGCCACCATGTACAACTCCAGGAACTTCGGGCCCCTGCGGAGCTCCCTCCTCTCCTGGGGAGAGGCAATGGTGACCCTCAGCCGCAGGCTGCTGGGCTTGAGTCCTGACCACTAGCCCCAATTCCCAGGAAGCACAAAGTTAACTTTAAAAATTGCTAGAACTTGTTTCTTCAGCCTCCAAATAAAAATATCAGGATCGGAGGCCCTGAACTGGGGCTGTGTATTCCTATCTCTTGTGATTTGGAGGACTATGGATAATGCATTCCCATTCCCCCTCCTATCTGTGCCCCTGACCTTGATCTGAGTGGCACGAGAAAGGTTGGCCATGTCCCCTTTGTTCTTGGCATCCCTGTGGCCGCAGGCCCCTTTCCAGCCGAGCAGCTGCCCAATTCGGAACATCTTGTGAGTGATGAAGTCCTCAGAGTCTCCAGCTCGTCGAGGATGCACATAATAACTGGCATTCCTGTCCAGTGTGATCAGGCCCCTAGGGCGCGGAGGAGTGCAGAGGAGGGTGTGAGGGGAGTCTTGCCCCAGCCCCAGGCCCTCCCTCCCACGGAACTCCTCACCTCATCCCAGAGCAGGTGCTGAAGACTACCCAGGAGTCAGGGAAGCCCCTCACGCGCCCATGGTAGTGGCAGTGGTCCTGGAGAGCAAGAGACCCAGCCCCAAAGCTCAGCCAGGGCTGAACTGGGAGGGGCAAGAGAGAGAGGGCATGGTGGGGGGCTGGCTCCAGCCTCTCCTTAAGAACAGGAGGAGAATGGGGAAGGAATGGTGGAGAGGTCCTCAGGGAGTGCACCCCCCTGTACCCCTTACCCTGTCCTCAGAGCCCACGAGAGTATCTCACCGTGTGGTTGGGAACCAGCACCACTGGCTGCCCATCTGGGCTATGGTGGGTTTCTGTGTATCCTGGGGCCAACAGCCTGCTGGGAGGGGGTGTTGTAGGAGTCACCTAATTCAGCCTGGCCTCTTCCAGGATGCCCTCCAGCCTTCCCCCCCCCCCCGAATGCTAATTGAGCAGCTCCGTGAAACAAGGCACAGGGCTAGCACTGAGGAAGCACCCACATGTGTCTTAGGGAAGGGACAGGAGCCACCATGTGTTGCTCAGGTCAGAAAACCCTGGGCTAGAGGCAGAAAGGTGGAGGGCAGGAAGGAGCCTTGGTGATGGCTGAGGTGTGGGAAGTGGGAGTGTGGGAAGCACCAGGGAGGAGCAGCAATAGGGAAAGAGTCTGTGGTTCCTGTGGGACCTGTGGCAGGCAGCTGGGTCCACAGGTCTGGGGAGGGGCAGGAGGGAGGATTAAGGAGACACTGATGAGGAGGTGGGACCTGGAGCCAAGGAAGCGCAGCAACCTCATTAGGGGGCCCTACCTGCCGCTCAGCCTTGCTGGGCATCTGGTCAACCTTCTCTCGTCCTCTTCCCTGTCCCCAAGATCCTTCAGACCTTCTCTGGCCCCTAGACCCCACATATCTCCCCACCCGTCCTTCAGTGATGTTCACCCCATGCTTCCAGAGAAAAGAGAATCTCCACCTGCTCACAGCTGCTCCTGCCTACCCACCTGAGCAGGAATCCCCATCCCCACCTTCTTCAGACCCCACTCCAGTAACGATTCCACCTTCTTTCTCCATCTCTCCAGGGCCCTTCCCACCAAGGTGAATCAATCATGAGTCAATTTCTCTTCTGTAAGGGAAATCCTCAACCCCCATCTCGCCTTGACCTCTTTACTGCCAGACCAACCCAAAGACCTGTGATGCCTGCTGCTCCACCTCCTAGTCTTTCCTCCACCTTCTCTAGCTTGGCTCCCCCAATACACACAACACACTGAACTCGAAGAGTAGGCGATGTGGTCACCCCTTTCATGTGTGGGGACGTTGAGCCCCAGAGGAACTGTGGTTAAATGTGGTGGAACTAGAATGTGTTCCTGGTCCATCTGGCTCCATGGGGGAGAAGTCAACATGTGTACAGTGCTTCGAACAATGCCTCTGATGAAGCAAGCGCTCAGTGAATGATAGCTATTGGTAATTCCATCTGGATGGTTTCCAGACCCCACACTCCATCTTGGACACCCACCCCACCCAGCCCAGCTCTGCCTGCTCATTCACCAGCTCAGAGTCTTTGGCTTTGCCCCATCCTGGACACTCAGCCTTAAAATGGCCTCTGTGATTTGGTCCTCCTGGGACTCCCCATTTCGCTGCTCCCTTCCCTGCCGATGGAGACTCTCCAGGCGAGCCAGACAGATTGCCTCCCCCTGAATGGGTCTGGACTTGGTAGCCACGGCACCTTTTTCCCTGCTATCCATCCCTCAGCCCAGAGCACCTGCCCATCCTTGGAATCCATCTTGGATTCTCTTTTGACTAAGCACACCCTTTGAGCACCCACAGGGTGATGCTCACTCATTTCTGGCAGGAAGCTAACAAGGTGCTCCTGGGGCTGGAACGAGGGGTGTGCCCCACAGCAGGGCTGACCCAGCCTCAGCAGCCTACTTCAGCCTTGAGGGAGCCGGTCATGCGCTGGCATGACTCTTCTTGTCACCTGTGCCTCTGCTTCTGGGGCCCTCGCCCCATCCAGCCTCTCTCATGTGTTCCCCTCAGTGCCCCCCACACTGATATCCCCCCGCCCCCGGAGAGGGGGGCTGTTCTTGGCTGCTAGCCTCCTCCCCAGCCTGGTACTCACTGGTTCTTCTCCAGCTCCAGCAGGAGCTCCTGCCCTTCAGCCTTCAAGGCCACCAGCCCTGTGTCTAGCTTCGAGACCTGGGCAAGAAGGAGAACAGGGCTGAGGGAGCAGGTGGGCTGGGGAGCTGGCTGGTGAGGGAGAGCGCAGGAGGCAGGGGGCAGTAGGCTCCCCACTTGCCATGGTAGGTGTGGGTGTGGGTGGGGGTGAGAACATGCAGGCATATGTGTTCCCAAACTCGGGATGCTTTTGGCTCTGACAACAGGCATTTGACACAGTCTGCTAGGTGAACACCACATCCTCCGGAGAGATGAGACAAGGGGTCCCAGAAAGATATCCTGCCTTACACAAGGTGACTGGGCCCTTCCTCTGGCCCTCCCTCCGGTTTCACAGCCAGAAGCCTTCCTCTAAGTGGGGAGGACAGTGGGGTCCTGAAGACATTGGGTGGAGGAGCGTCGGGTAGGCGAGCTCAGGCGTCCTTACAACCTCTTGTTTCTGTATCTTGCTGCTCCCCACTCCCCGTAGAATTCAGACTTTACTCCCTCCTCCTCCAATTCCGACAAACCGAAAATTTCCCTGGCCTCCTGAAGGCCTGCCCCACACCTGCTTCGCTGAGCCCATGAAGTAAACATTAACCCCCCCATTCCAGGCCAAGAAGAAAACATCCTGGGCCAGCCTCTCCTTCCCCATAACTTCTTTGCCTCTCCCACCCTGTGGGATTACCCCATCTGCCCCTCCTTGTCCACTCTGCCTGGCTGGGGGCCCAGAGTTGGAGCCGGCCCTGGAGCCTCGAGCCTCATGGAGAGCTGCTGTGTCTTCGGAATGCTGGCCCCCACCCTTGCTAGCCCTGCCCTTTTATCCCAACATGCACTGGGCTGGGCCCCAGGCCAAGGGGCTCAGATTCTTTTGGGGGCCTTTTCTCTGCAGGTGGGAGCAGACAACTCCTCCACCCCAGCCAAGAGACCTCCCCAAGGCCCCAGGCATGAGCTCACATGGCCAGAATGCCACTTACTTTACTGGAGAAAGGTTTGCACCAAGCACAGACAGCAGCCCCAGATGGAAAGCCTCCTCCTACCTCAACCCCAGCCCGGGCTCCCCTCTCTCTGTCCTTCTGCAGCCCCTCCTGTCCTTGCTTCCTGCCCTCTTGGTGACCCGGCTATTCACCTAGCACCCCATCCCTAACCTGAAATGTGGGTATTTCCTGCCACTTGGACACGACTCCCTGCTTCAACTCTGCTGTCCTCATCTTGGCAGGCTTCCCGGAGGCAGGGGAAAGCAATGCCCTTTGGGATGCCCTTCTTCGTCACAGCCCAGGCTGGACCGGGAGGGAGGACCACAGTCAGTGTGACTCCAGCATGTGCCTAGCCTTCCCCTCTGCCACTGATGTCTAGGACAACCGACTCAAAGCTTGGGCCCACTTGAATGGGGGCCCCTGAGGGTCTGGGGGACCCAGTGAAGGTCCTAGGTTAAAGCCTGCTGGGCCTATGGGGCCCTCCTAGACTTCATTACACCGTCATCCTGCGTTCCTCTTTGCTGGCTTAGAGAGTGGGTTGTCCTCTCTTGCCTGAAAATTCAGGATGAGCTCTCTAGACCTGGGGGGACACTGGTCAATGGTTACAAGTCTTTCAGACCTTAGTGGGCCTCAGGCTTCTGGGCTTCTGGTCTCAGGCTATGTGACCTTGGGCACTTTCTCCAACCTCTCTGGGCTTCAGTCTGCCCCTCTGTGAAATGGGGATACCAAGGGCACTGGCCTCCTGGTTTGCAGCACAGCTGTGTGACACATACACATATAGATGGGGACACAGTTATTCTGGAAGTGTGTGACGGGTGGGTGTTGGCAGGAAGCTGGGGCAGAGCATCCTGGAGAAGCAAAATCAGGTGCATTTGGGGGGCACTAGGAGAGTGACCAGTGCCCCCTGGCCAGAAGTGGATTCTGCATGAGACAGGGAGGCTGAAGTTTTCCTGGCGGGAACAGCAATGTATCCACAGGGTAACATGTTCTAGTAAACTGGGCAAAAGGAAGATATTTGGGGGTTTTATTAAAGAGGTCCCTGAAAAGTTTCAGGCCCCACAAATTCTGGCCCTACCTCTGCCTGGTGGGGTGGGGGTGGCCTGAATAATTCTGGGAGGGAGGGAGCAGGGGGAGATGGGGGAGGAAGCCTGAAAATGACTTCCATGTGTGAAGGCTCATGTGAGCCAGCTATCTCCCCACCCCCACCTGCCAACCCTCCTGGAAGGGGCCAAAAGGTCCCCAGCCAAACTGCCACGCTGAATGAGGAAGGGCCAAGGGGCTGGGAGACCCTGGGCTCCTGAGGCGGGAAGGATGACCTGGCACTGACCGGCTCCTCTGGGGCGACCATGCGTCGGGCTCCTGCATCCGGGACCCAGCGCAGGGTGACTGGCTCTCCGGGGTTGTTTCCTGGGGGGAGGACAGAGTAAAAGATGAGGGGGAAACAGGGGGGCGGGGACGACCAAGGGACGAGGTTACAGGACATCAGCCGGGTGGAATAGGAGACTCCATCTTCAACATTCAAAGGTAGCCTGGAGAAGGGTGGTCACCCCTGGGGGCATCCTTGGAACCAGGGAGGTGGCAGAAGAGAGACAGAGGAGCTCAGCCGGGGAAGTGGGAGCCCCACTGACCTGGGGGAGGCTTGGGGGTCAGAGGTCACAAGGAAGAGACCAAGGCCCCCAGTGCAGAAGGGAAAGGAAAGGGGACGCAGCCTTGGGTATTTTTAGACTGGGCAGCAGATGCCTTTGGGGTGAGAGATCTGTGAAGAGAGGATGCCTGTGTCTCCGCCATCTGAGAAAAACAACAGCCAGATGTCTGGGGAGGCCCACCTTGCCCAGAGCTCCCCTTGGGGGCTTCATGCTGGAAGCGGGACTTCTGGGGACTCTAGCTCAGAAGCCCCCTCCCGGGATCTTCAAGGTGGGGAGCCCTGGGGGACAGAGCCTGAGTGCTCCCAGGCCTGGCGTGCTTAAGGGGGCTCTGGAGGAATACCAGAGCCAAGCATTACTCAGAAGGCTCTGGAATGCTCCCAGCCCCCCACCCCACAGTGGGTCCCAGAGGCTCTTGCCACACCCGCCCTGCAGGAGCCAGGCCCCAGGCAGCCCAGAGCCTGTAGGCAGCCCTCCCTGTCCTCTGACACAATCCCTGGGGAAGCGAGCCCAGCTCCCAGAACCGACAGCCACCCAGCACCCAGCCAGCCCTGACCCTCTGAGATGGCTGACTGTGTTCCAGCAGAAGTGTTCCAGCTCCGGCCAGTCCACCCAACTCCTTTCTCTTCCTCCATCCTCTCCCCCAGACCCCGTCATCAAAGACCCAGAATAGCAGCCGCTCTAGGAGTCCCCTTCCCCCAGGAAGCCCTCCCTGCTTGGATGAGCCAGCTGCTACAGTAGGAGAGGGATCTGAGTGAATCTGGGAGGAGTGGGGGGCAACCAGCCCAGAGAGGACTTAACTGGGTGTGGAGAACTACCTCTTGCTGGCCCTAGGCCTCCCAGGTAGAGAGGGGAGGGTGGGCCTGTGTGCAGGTGTGCGTGTCGGTTGGGGGTTCTCTTCATGGCATCCCCCCTGAGGAGGGAGAGGCGGGCAGAGATGGAGCTGTGATGATGAGGATCAGGGAGCCATTGCAGTGTTGGGGAGCACAAAGCCCCTCTCCACTCCTCCCAGGGGTCATCTCACCCTCTCCTGACCCCAGGCTGAGGAGGAGGAAGCAGCCATCCCCAAAGGCATGAGGGCTTTCATCCCACCCCCTCGGGGCCCCAGAACAGAACAGGACCCTATTCCTATTGGGTACTCCCGGACAGTGCTCTGGAACCCAGTGCCCCCAGGCTGCCCAGCCCAGCCTGGCCATTCCTGCCTCCTCCCCAGTGTCCGGTGTCCTCCCAGTCCCTCCACAGGGCACTTCCCATACAGGGTACAGGACTGGCCAGTCCTACGCACTGGGGGTGTGGAGGTTAACTCCCAGGGCCCCTTCTGTCTGAAGCACCCTTCTCTATCTCACCAAACAAGGCAACAATATCAACAACACACACACACACACACACACACACACACACACACACACGGCCCCAAGGCCCTGCCATACTGGGGATGAGCATGGAGGCTGCAGGAGGGTGAGGGCACAGCAGAGACTCCTGGGACCCCGTGCGCTGGGCCTCAGGGATGGAGGTGCAGGGACGTCCACACCGGTGCATGGGGTCTGGGGGTGGTCAAGGCAGAGTCCCCGCAGAGGATTTTGGGAACTCGGGCGGCTGCTCAGAGGGGACCCCCCCCCACCCCGCTTTGCCATTGCCACTGTGGCAACTGCGCAGAGTGTGTCAGTCTGGGCCCCAAGGCCAGCCCCAGTACAGCTGAGAGTCCCTGCGCAGGTCCTGCGGAGACCCTCCCTGCCCTCCCAGCCACCGCGGTGGCGGACAGCGACCTCCCCTGCGCCGCGGGGCACGGCCCACTCACCTTGAAACGCCTCGGCCCCCCACACCGGCCAAGGCAGCCGCAGGAACAGCAGCAGCAGGCACGCCCGCGACCCTCGAGCTCTCGGAACCCCCCGGCCCATCGCTGGGAGCGTCCCGGCCTCCACGCGGTGGCTGCGGGCGGCCGGGCCCCGGCTCCGCCCCGGCTGGATCCGCGCCGACGCACGCCCAGAGCAGCCAGCCCGCAGCCTCCCGACCCTCCCGCGCCACCCCGCACGGGGCCCCCACGGCCCTTCCGCCCGACCCCGCGCGCCCTCGGGGAGGGGGAGCCGGAGCGGCCGTCTAAGCGCAGGAGCAGGGCCGGCGGAATCCGTGCGGCCCCTCGGGGCTCCGCCAGCGCCCAGCCGCCCGGTAGGTCCCCGCGCCCTCTCCCCGCGGGGGCGGAGCGGGGGTGGAGAGGGGATGGGGCGGGGCCCCTCGGAAGGGCTTGTGAGGGCCACTGGGGGTGCGTGGGGGAGAGGCCGGGGCTGGGGGCCGCCTGCTGCGGCTCGGGTCTGCGCAGGGAGCGCCCCCCGCCGCTGCCTCCGTCCCCTGGGCGGACCTCTGTCCCCGCCTGCTCCCCAAGCCTGCCCAGAGGGGGCCCTGGCCCGAACCCGGCGGAAGTGGGCCTAGGAGGAGGGAGGCGGGCGCCCGCGAGGAGCAGGTGCGGCCCGGAGCTCGCCAGGGCCGCCGCGCGGTGGCCGCCAGCCTCTGTGGCGGCCGCGCGGGCGCCCGGGTGGGGGCGGGGGCAGCCCTTGTCCCTGGTGGTGGCCAGAGGGAACAATTGCACAAAGCCACAGACTCCCAGACGTGGGGGATTCTTTCTGCTTTCTGCTTTGGCAACATGTTTCTTTTTTTAAAGGTTTGTGTACTGAGTAAATTCGGAGAGCGAGTAGTCGGTATTCTGATAGTGAGAGATGTTAACTTTTTTTTAAAGATTTTATTTGTTTGTTTGTTTGTTTGTTTGGGGAGGGGATTCAGAAGAGGAGGGAGAGGGAATCTCAAGCGGACTCCCGGCTGAGCGGGGAGCCTGGGCTCAGTCTCACTACCAGACATCATGACCTGACTTGAAACCAAGAGTCAGTCGCTCAACGGACTGAGCCACCCAGGTGCCCCACAAGGGATGTTAGCTTTTAAGCAAATCTATTTGTTTTTGAGAACAAATGCGAAGGTTCCCTTAGGAAGAGTTCCAGCAGCGAGAGAAATCTATGTTGGTCTGATTCAAACATCAAAAGTTTAAGATGTTAAGGGTTCATCCCTCCCTTTTCTGTCCCTCCTCTCAACCCACATTCCCCAACCAGCTCGAAACCACCATCCTTAGCTTCTTGTGTAGGTTTTCGATTATTTTATGCACACCCAAGACAATACAGACCTATTTTTTCCTCTGATTAACATTTCTCTGCACTTTTTTCCCCCACTTACTACACTTTGGAGATCCTTCATATCAGTGCACTGAGTGGTCTTATGGTTATTACTATTATCCTATTATTATTACTTCAGGTTTTTAAGTTAACTTTATTAAGATATAAATTTACATACAATAAAGTGCACCTGGGGGCGCTTGGGTGGCTACTCGGGGGTTCCTGGGATCCAGCCCTGGGTGGGGCTTCCTCAATGGAGAGCCTGCTTCTCCCTCTCCCTCTGCCTCTCCTCCCTGCTCGTACTATCTCTCTTGCTCTATCTCAAATAAATAAATAAGATCCTTTAGGGGCTGCCTGGGTGGCTCAGTCGTTAAAGCGGCTGCTTTCGGCTCAGGTCATGATCCCGGGGTCCTGGGATCGAGCCCCACATCGGGCTCCCTGCTCCACGGGGAGCCTGCTTCTCCCTCTCCCACTCCCCCTGCTTGTGTTCCCTCTCTCGCTGTGTCTCTCTCTGTCAAATAAATAAATAAAATCTTAAAAATAAGTAAGTAAGTAAATAAATAAATAAATAAATAAGATCCTTTAAAAAAATAAAGGGTACCTGTTCTAAGTATCCACTTAGATGAATTTGATAAATTCATACGCCTTTGTAATCACCACCATAATCCAGATACAACATTCTGTAGCCAAACCAGGTAGGAGAGTTTGTCCACCCTATGGGTAGCAGGCCAATAAAACTGACACTGAGCTTTTGCAGTGAAGAAAGATAAGCTATTTACTGATATGGCACCACCCAGGAGAATGGGAAACTAAGGCTCCAAAGTCCCAAACTCCCCAATGGCTTGCAAGTGAAGGTTTCTAAGGGCAAAATTTGGGGCAGGGCTGTCCTGAGAAGGTGGGTGTCATTGACTGGAGGCCCAGGAGGTCGTGTTAGCAGGTGCCCTGGTGCCATTTTTTCTGGTCCCCTGGGAGGTCTTTTTCATCTCAAGAGACTTGGAATCTGAAAAGTATATTTGTTCTTTATGGTAGAGGTTTCATTAGGTACATCCGGTAATAATATCCTTAGGGTAGTGCTGATTAACTACTTGTAAGCTAGCGGGGTTGCATTCCTGGAGGTTCCTTGGCCGGTCCAGTCCAGCCATGCAGGAAAGAACACACATCTCCTGAGCATAGGTAGTTTGTGGCAAATGTCATGTAATTTGCACTTGCTGACCACCTCCAGCAGGCAGTCTCCCAGAATGAGCTGCATTCACAGTTAGATCTTCTGTGTTCCAGTGCAGCCATTTGGGTTGCAAGAAAGAGACTCATTCCAGTTACGTCACAGGGTGGATGTTTATTGGGCAGACATGCCAGACAGGCTCCCAGGAAGAGTCTGGCAATCAGGCACTACGAGGAATGGGACCTGGGGCCAGGAAGCCCCCGGCTGCGGTTACATGGAGCTTACTCGGCCTCCAATTTCTTCCCAAGCTGTTAGCCCCTATAACAATTCCCCACTACCTTCCAGGTTTCTCAACCCAAATTCCATGCGGGCTCTTTGCACCTCCTACCAT